GCCACCGTTTTTACTTCATAGCCCTGATCACTTTTCAAGTAGTCTGTCACTTACCTAGTGTTAATAATATATAAAAAAATAATAAATGAATAATATTTATTAACGCACCAACAAACACGTACTGTAACAGTTTATCAGTGATGTACGATATGAATAATCAGGTACATGGAGTTATGCTCCAAAACAATGTTATTTTAAAAAAATAATTATAATTTTTTTAAATTTTTTATTAAGCGTGTAGTGGACTTAATTCGTACACAGAAATGTTATAAGTTCGTCATTGCAGGAATATGCTAAAACACCAAGTACATTTATTATTCCGTTCAGGTATATGAAACGATAATGTGAATACATGCGTAATATAAAAACAATGTGGTTATATGACTTTCGTTTGCATCACGGTATGCATGCTCGCTTTGACGATAAAACATATACCTTTAAAGAGACGTTGGATGTTGAGAAAATCCCAGATACCAGCTGAGCTGAAGTCGACGGCCCACAAAAAAACGGCGCGGTGTTCTTTCCAATCAAAAATTTATTTTGAAACGGGACAAATTTATTTATTTTGAAATGGTACGAATTTTTTGTTTCTTTTTGGCGAAACCCGGGTGCAATGTGGATATGTGTGAAATACCATGGATGAATGCCTGTTATTGCCATTCTATTCAAGTCCCGTTCGCTTGTTTTTCGTTTAAAACTGTAGTTATGTTTTATCACAGATAATAAAATATACATGGTTTGGAGACGAAATAAAAGTACAATTCAGCTCATTAATTATGTTATTGTCCAGGTTTATTCAAAAAACGGTTCCTTTCTCGTCACGTGTCGATTGTATTTTAGCCAAACTTAACAATGGTATTCGTCTTGCTAAGCTCCTCAACCTTGACTTGAAAATTAAATTCTATTAACTGTGGTTTTATCAGACTCCAAGCATAAACTTGGGAAAGCACGTCCATACTTAACCATGCATGACATATAAGTGAAAAAGAGATCCCCAATCCAGAAAACAGAATTTTTACGTTAAAAATTATTTCCCAAAAGCTATTAAACGAAGCTGGTTTAATTTGAACAAAATTTGTCCATATTTAACCATGCATGATATATAAGTAAAAAGAAGTGCCGCAATGCAGAAAACAGTATTTTTACTTTAAAAATTCTCTCCCGAAAGCTATTCTACGAAGCTGGTTATATTTGAACAAAATTTGTCCATATATTTAACCATGCATGATATGTAAGTAAAAAAGAGTTCCCCAATCATAAAAACTATATTGTTTTATAAAAAATGCTTCCCCAAACCCTACTAAACGAAGCTGGTTAAATTTGAACAAAATTTGTCCATATTTAACCATGCATGATATATAAGTAAAAAAGAGATCCCCAATCATGAAAACAATATTGTTTTATAAAAGAGGCTTCTCCAAACCCTACTAAACGAAGCTGGTTAAATTTGAACAAAATTTGTCCATATTTAACCATGCATGATTTATAGGTAAAAAAGAGTTCCCCAATCATGAAAACTATATTGTTTTATAAAAAATGCTTCCCCAAACCCTACTAAATGAAGCTGGTTAAATTTGAACAAAATTTGTCCATATTTAACCATGCATGATATATAAGTAAAAAAGAGATCCCCAATGATGAAAACAATATTGTTTTATAAAAAAGGCTTCTCCAAACCCTACTAAACGAAGCTGGTTAAATTTGGACAAAATTTGTCCATATTTAACCATGCATGATATATAAGTAAAAAAGAGATCCCCAATCATAAAAACTATATTGTTTTATAAAAAATGCTTCCCCAAACCCTACTAAACGAAGCTGGTTAAATTTGAACAAAATTTGTCCATATTTAACCATGCATGATATATAAGTAAAAAAGAGATCCCCAATCATAAAAACTATATTGTTTTATAAAAAATGCTTCCCCAAACCCTACTAAACGAAGCTGGTTAAATTTGAACAAAATTTGTCCATATTTAACCATTCATCATATATAAGTAAAAAACAGATCCCCAATCATGAAAACAATATTGTTTTATTAAAAAGGCTTCTCCAAACCCTACTAAACGAAGCTGGTTAAATTTGAACAAAATTTGTCCATATTTAACCATGCATGATATATAAGTAAAAAAGAGATCCCCAATGATGAAAACAATATTGTTTTATAAAAAAGGCTTCTCTAAACCCTACTAAACGAAGCTGGTTAAATTTGAACAAAATTTGTCCATATTTAACCATGCATGATATATAAGTAAAAAAGAGATCCCCAATGATGAAAACAATATTTTTTATAAAAAAGGCTTCTCCAAACCCTACTAAACGAAGCTGGTTAAATTTGGACAAAATTTGTCCATATTTAACCATGCATGATATAAGTAAAAAAGAGATCCCCAATCCCTAATCCATTATATAGCTCAGTGGTGAAACTTCAAGGAAAAAAGAGGAAGTTTGTTTTGGTAAGTGGAAGCAATCGTCGTTTTAAACTTTCAATTTTCAAACATTTCTTTTCCAAACTTTCGTTTTGAAGCAAAATATTTTGAATTATTTTCTCTCAATTGCAAGGAAATACACGAGCTTTTCTAGCGAAATATGTCGCACGACGTGACCGTAAACTTCAACGGCAAATCATTTAACCTTCGTTTTCAACCATCCTGGACAATCGCTCAACTAAAACGGGAAATTGCTCGCAAGAAAAATGTCAAAACTGCTGGAATTAAAATCATTTTTGCCGGTCGAGAATTACCCGATAAAAATTAACACTCGGGGTGAGTGATTTTTAGGAAAATATCAAGCTTTTAATGTGATTTATATAACAATTTTCAAAGAAATAACGAAAGATTTACTGTGAAATGTTGAAATGATTTCATAAATGAGGTTTTTTTAGTTCGGGATTTTGATGTTTAAAGCGACCATCTTCGTTATAGTAAATCTGAGATAGATTATGATACAGCTTGTCTTGCTTGAGTCAGTCCATCTCAGAATATCACAGTGTCTGAATTTTGATAAAATGATTTTTTAAGACATTTTTCAAAGCCATCTTTTTCCACTAAAACCTGACCCAAACTTATGTGAATTCTCACTCATGGACAGTTTCCAGGATTTTTCAGATGATTCTCAGAATTCTCAGTCTTTCAATTACCATCAGTCGACAATGAGTCTGACATTCAGAGATCTGAAACTGTGTTTTTTTGTAGAATGCAGAGATGAACCACAGCGTCATTCATGCTGTTCAGAAATCTGGTCAGATCTCAGTTGATGCAACTTACAATGCGAATGATGGTTTGACGAAAGTAAAACTGACACAGGATGACGAGGATGAAGACGGTGAATCTGAACAATCAGGTTGTGACGAGATCTTTCATAAACCTCTAGATAAATAATGTGACCCCACCCTGTTTAATCCCCCTCCTAATTTTACACCCTCAATAAATACCTCCAATATGTTCCCGCTATGTTCACCCTCGTTCCTCTCCCTCTCTGATATGACCTGATTTGATAAACCTCTTTCCTGATAAACCTCTCTCTAGTTAATCCACTATAATAATTTCTGTTCCTTGTATTGCAATCCTGTCTAATACACCTCTTTTCCAATAACCCTTTCTCTGGTTTGTTCTCTATAAAATATCCTTTCAATAGCCATCTCTAAATAACCCTCAAATCACTCTATTCCCCTCTGTCATGATTATGCCCTTCCCTAATGTACCTCTTCTCCAATATTCCTCTCTAATTAACCCTCAAATTATTCTCTATTCTCTTCCCTAATAGTATGCCCCTCCCTAATGTACCTCTTTCCTTATTTCCCTCTCTAATTAACCCTCTCTAGCCAATCCCCTATACCCTTCCCTACTAGCATGCCCCTTTCTAATATGCCTCCTCTCTAAAACCCCTTTTTCCAATTAACCCAACCCACCCTTGCCCATACCCCCTTACCTGGATGTCCTCTAACACAGTACTGTACCACTTCTCTAATTGTCTATCTCCAATAAACTCCTATCCCCAGCTTGATACCCTTGCATTTTCCTCATGGAGAAACCCTGGGTAGAGGGTTCTCTACCCTGCCTTCCCCCCTAATCATATTATACTTCATCCATGAAGACCCACCCTCTCTCCCTAATAAACCACTCTCTCTCAAATAAGCCCCTCTCTCTTTAATAAGCCCCTCTCTCTCTAAAAAGCCCCTCTCTCTCTAATAAGCCCCTCTCTCTCTAAAAAGCCCCTCTCTCTCTAATAAGCCCCTCTCTCTCTAATAAGCCCCTCTCTCTCTAATATTAGGCCTCTCTCTTTCTAATAAGCTCATCTCTCTAACACCAGGGCTCCTTTAATAATCCAAACTTTTTGTACTCTTTCATCTCAGGCAAGCAAAGTTTCTTCTTTGTTTATTGTAAAACTTGCAAGAAACTAACACAAGGAAAATTGCGATGTCGATGTTCAAATTGCAAGGAAGGAAGCTTTGTTCTATCACAGGTATTTACTGTTTCCTTATAAACAACTTGTAAAAAATCTGCAGCAGATTTATATTTAGACTTTATAAAATGTCGACATTGTTACAACTTGTTTACAAGCTTGCTGTGAAAGCTTTTGAATGTCAACAAACATCTTGTTTACACAATATTTATGGTTTCTTGCAAGGGTCCAAATGGTTGGGACGATGTATTGATCAAAGGCCGAATGCAGGGACAATGTGAATCCAATACAAACTGTCAGGGAAAAACAGCTGTAAGTTATCCACCTATTAGACCTAAAATACAATAGTGGGTCACATCTAGGTGCATTGCAACTAATGGGTTAACAAGAGACACTGACAGATATTAGTTTGTTAACTTATTAACTGACAGTACTCTTCCACTGATGAGTAAAATTACCTGACATTATACAGAGTAAAATACTAAAGTAGGTCACAAACTTCTTGTTCTTTCAAAGGAATTTTATTTCAAATGTGGGGAACATCATGGTAGAGATGAACAGGCGCCATTATCAATGTTGAAATCTAACATCAGAAATATTCCCTGCATCACATGCTCTGAAATATCGTAAGTTTACCCTTTCATTTTATGTCTCCTCCCAGAAACATTTATCCTACTAGGAAAGTTGAATTTTTTAATCCAAACTGCAGTTAATAGAAACTAATAACTCTGATCCAACATGGTCAATATTTAATCAATTTTTTTCACTCATGCTGTCATGCACCTACCTATTGTTTTAACTGTTTTATTTTATGTTTATTTGAAACCATCCTCAATGAAAATATCTATTTCATAGATTTGTTATTGTTCTTTAATATATAATTCTATAAGAACTGGCTCAATCACAAAAATACAAATCAGTATATGTCTGACAATCAACTTAGAATGCTACAATCTATTTCTATAACTTTGTGAAAATCTTATAGTTCATTTCAAATGTTCATAATATGTTAGGAGTTTTCACTTAATACCGTACATATTGTTCACACAACAACAGCAGTGTGCCACCATCTTGCTTTAGACATTTCTGGAAGTTCTTCCCAAGAATACCTTTCAAAGTTGAAACCTTCAACTGACTTCAGTTCTCCTGCACCAGATCCTCCCAGGACTACAATGTTGTTTTCAATAACAACTGCAGTGCATCCTCTCCTCTTATATCTCATTGATGGCAGCATGTGACTTTGTTTTGTCTTGACATTGTAAATGATAACTGTATCTAATGTCTTGCCATGTTTGTCAACGCCACCAATAACAACGATGTTGTCTCCCCATCTCACAGTTGCCATAGCACTCACTTCATACGGCAGTGGTGACAACTGTTTTAGCTCATTCTTCTTTATATCGTACAGTACGACACTGCTGAGGTTGTCTGTGTAACTGTCAGTTTTACTTCCACCAACTGTCAACAAATTATCATCAAATATTTCCATGCTGTGACCTTGTCTCGGTTCTGGCATTCTTGATAAGGTCTTCACAGTATAGGGAGGAACAAGCTGGACTGATCTGATCAAGTCAGATGAAACATTTCCATTATCACCTCCAGAGAGTATCAACTGATCATTATACAGCACACTGCTGTGGTATCTCAACTTATCAGGTAGTTTAACAGGACAGTCACTCCAGTGTGTTGAGAGATCAGGGTTTGGGTCAATATTCATTCTAATTATATCATCAACAATGCCAGGCCAACCACAGCCACCCCCAGCTATATTCATATGATTGTTATAAATAAATGAAGTCGCTCCATAACGATTCTCTGGCATTGATTGTAATGGCGACCATGATTTTTGACGCCAGTTAAACATCTCTACAGAGTTTGTTCCTACACCTCCAGCAACAATTATATTTTCCTTATCACCACTTGGTCTATTTCTTACTTTTCTTGTGTTTTCTTCTATCTTGCCCTCCATCGTGATATGAACATCCTTCATTTCATCAAAAGCTCTGACCAAAGCTGTTTTCAATCCATCGACTTTGTTGTTAACCGCTTCGAGTTTTCGTTCCATATCTGCTTTTATATCTGCGGTATTTTTTGCCATATTCTTTTCTAAATTTGTTATTTTTGTTTCAATTGTTACATTATTCTTCGCCATTCTTTCCTCCATATCTGCCAAAGTTTTCGTCATTTCTCCGCACGAGTGACACTTCAACTTTCGGAATTCACAGACTTCACTTTCATGGTGAATAAGATCACGCTTGTTGACAATTAAACCACAGCCTTGGTTTGTACAAACGGCTGGTGTATATCCACATGTATCTTCATGGCGGTCAAGATGCTGTAATTCTACAACTTCTTGACAACCTCTGTCGATGTAAACGCAACGAATTTTTGATTCATTCAAGAAATCTTTTACAATTCTATTTGGTTCGGCCAAAGTCTCTACGGTCAGTTCATCAGCACACGTTGGACATGTTTGAGAATTTTCCAGATGTTTCGTAATACAACAACGGCAAAAAGAATGCTGGTTTCTCGAACACATAACCGGCTCTTTCAAGACATTGAAGCAAATCTGGCAATGAAAATTTTGATTGATTTTGTCCACAAACCTTTCTTCATCGTAGCCTTGTATATATGTAGCCATATTTCACGTCGTTCTTGTGTCGTAATAAAGCAAGTTCTGTGTTGCTTGTCGCTCTGTAGTATAAACCTCGCTGTATAGACTGAATATAGATACAGTGTTCGTTCTTGAAGATGTCTGTGTTTGTATTTTCTCGAAATCTTATCCAAAATGATCAGTTTTTGAGGACAAATATCTCTTCGTTATAAAGTATTTGCATAAGACGCGTCCTTTCCTGTCAGGACTTAGGAATTCCTGGAATTTGCTGCCGTGTTTCCAAAAATGAATTTGAAAATGTCGCGATCTGACTGAGAGAGCTGGAGCAAAATTAAACATTTTTCTGATTTTTTCAGTAGATTTTTGAGAAATGTTATTTTACAGTAATTTAAGGTGGCTCCCTACAGTTCTATGGTTGTATCGCGGTAATTTTGTCGCGCGCGAAATAGGACACGCAACACGCGTGGCTGATGTTGCATGCAGGGCGGGCTTTTTAAAACTTGTCATTGTGAACGTTTGATAAACACGCGCGGGCCTTCGCGGGATGTCGACTGGTCGCGCGAGGAAATTGAAATCCTGATTTTTGTGACGTCATAAACATAAAAATAAATGTATTTTTCTCGTTTTTCCTTCGGTAAATTCTTTTCAAACTTTACACAGTTTTCTGTAATCTTGAAATGCGTAAAATGTGCAAGTTTTAAGAAAATCGTACGAGCCGAATTTTTTTTAATTAAAAAACAGGATTTTTTGAGGATTTAAAAAAAAGTGCTCGTACGATTTTTTTTAAATGCTAACATTAGAAAGAATTATGGATAAGATTACTGTGTGGAAAAAATTAGAAAGTTTTACCGAAGAAAATTTGAAAAAATTATCTCAGAATCTGTAAATTGGCCCTTTTTAAAATCGTTATGTTACCATGGCAACGAGGAAATTTTATGAAATTTTATATATTTCGTAATTTGCGATATTATAGCAGTTATGTGGCCAAGTTTCGTGATCATACTTTGTAAGATGATAAAATAATGGTCTTTCCAACATAATTGCGCATTACACAATCAAAACTGTAGGGAGCCACCTTAAGTCGACTCTAAAAGCTTTAACTTGTTCTATTTAAATGCGAATTTACACTTTCAAAAGTGCTGACGATGCTGCGATAGTTTTTAATATAAAACTCCATGTTCACTAAATCCTAAATACACGAATTTAATTGTTGGGATTATGTTAGGAATTGGTTAAGATTATGTTTTAGGTTTATGGTTTAATAAGGTTAAACCTAATCCTAAATTTAACCCTAATCCTAACCTAATCTTAAGGATTAAATGGAGTAATACTGCCAACATAGAAATCGCTAAACATTCCAGTGTATCGAGAGATCAGTAAACTGTCAGGGAGCGAAATTTCAAGGCAAAGAGGAAGTTTGTTTTGGCAGTTAATGAGTTAAAAAAACTATCCCTCAGACTTATTTACTATTTGAGATTATGTTACGATTTGGGTTAAGATTTGGTTTTAGGTTTATTGTTAATTAGAGTAAAACCTAATCCTAAATTTAACCCTAATCCTAACCTAATCTCTGGAATTATATTGATTGCCAACATAGAAAACGCTAAACATTCCAGTGTTTCCAAGAGATCAGAAAACTGGCAAGGAGTGAAATTTCAAGGAAAAAAGATGAAGTTTGTTTTGGTAAGTGGAAGCAACCTTCGTTTTAAACTTTCAATTTTCAAACATTTCTTTTCCAAACTTTCGTTTTGAAGCAAAATATTTTGAATTATTTTCTCTCAATTGCAAGGAAATACACGAGCTTTTCTAGCGAAGTATGTCGCACGACGTGACCGTAAACTTCAACGGCAAATCATTTAACCTTCGTTTTCAACCATCCTGGACAATCGCTCAACTAAAACACGAAATTGCTCGCAAGAAAAATGTCAAAACCGGTCCTACTAAAAACCGCCCGAGACCGCCCGAGACCGCCCGAGAGTATAGAAAAACCGCCCGAGACCGCCCGAGAGTATAGAAAAACCGCCCGAGAGTATAGTAAACCGCCTTCGACGGTCAGAGAGCAGGACTTCGACGGTCCTGTCAAAATATTTATTATTACTATTTCACTTTCTAAATCCCTAATGTTATGAGCAGAACCAATGCGCAGAAGCCGGCTGAATAATAAATGATGTCATAACTTTAGTTACGATTATTGTCTCCTTGATCTCAATGTATTCTATGATTAAACTGGTATGATTAAACTGGTATCCTGACATCTGGTATCCTGATTAAGACACTGTTTTAAATGCAGGCCGGGCAAAGGAAAACATAAGGATCATGTTGAGTAAAACAACAGAGCCAGGAGAATTTCCATGCACAATTACAATTCAGCCCGCTAATCTGTGCTAGTTAGTGTCAAATGTTCTTGTCTAAGCATACGGGTTCTTAGGACATTTCATATTTACTGGTATTTAATTTAAAAACACAAAATAACTTCAGATTTCTGTCAGCCGCTTTTTTAAAGTCTCGGGCGGTTTTTCTATACTCTCGGGCGGTTTTTCTATACTCTCGGGCGGTCTCGGGCGGTCTCGGGCGGTTTTTCTATACTCTCGGGCGGTCTCGGGCGGTCTCGGGCAGTCGGGCGGTTTTTAGTAGGACCCGTCAAAACTGCTGGAATTAAAATCATTTTTGCCGGTCGAGAATTACCCGATGAATTAACACTCGGGGTGAGTGATTTTTAGGAAAATATCAAGCTTTTAATGTGATTTATATAACAATTTTCAAAGAAATAACGAAAGCTTTACTGTGAAATGTTTAAATGATTTCATAAATGAGGTTTTTTTTTAGTTCGGGATTTTGATGTTTAAAGCGACCATCTTCGTTATAGTAAGGGCCTTTTTATATGATCCCGTCTAGCCGAGAAGGGATGTTTTCATCTCGCTTAGCCGGGAAACTCGCCTAGGCGGGATGGCGTGTTTATATGCAGTTCATTTTGTAGTGCAGGTTCCTTCGACGGCATGTTTTATTGTAGAAAACGAATATGCCAATATATACCATGCTCTTAATGTATGTTAATTGCGAATCATCCCGGGCAAGCGGGATGGAGTGTTTATATGGCAATTTCTCGTCCCGTCTAAGCGGGATCCCGGCAAGAAGTGCCGGGATCCCGCCTAGGCGGGATGGAAAAGCGGTCATATAAACACTAATTAGTGTTTGTATTACAAGCGGGATCTCGGAAACTGTCCCGTCCCGGCTAGGCGGGATCATATAAACAGGCCCTAAATCTGAGATAGATTATGATACAGCTTGTCTTGCTTGAGTCACTCCATCTCAGAATATCACAGTGTCTGAATCTTGATAAAATGATCTTTTAAGACATTTTTCAAAGCCATCTTTCTCCACTAAAACCTGACCCAAACTTATGTGAATTCTCACTAATGGACAGTTTCCAGGATTTTTCAGATGATTCTCAGAATTCTCAGTCTTTGAATTGCCATCAGTCAACAATGAGTCTGAAATTCAGAGAACTGAAACTTTTTTTCTAGAATGCAGAGATGAACCACAGCGTCATTCATGCTGTTCAGAAATCTGGTCAGATCTCAGTTGATGCAACTTACAATGCGAATGATGGTTTGACGAAAGTGAAACTGACACAGGATGACGAAGATGAAGATGGTGAATCTCAACAATCAGGTGGTGACGAGATCTTTCATAAACCGCTCAATGATGTGACCACTCTCTTTTTAGTGTTCTTTCTGGTTTAATACACACCCTCAATAAATACCTCCAATCCATCTCCACTGTGATAACCATTTCTTTATACCTTTCCGTAGTATATCCCTCACAAATACACCTCAATCTTCTTTAAAAACCCCTCTCTCCAATTGTCTGACTCTAAACCCTTCTGTATCTCCCTCCCACCCTCTCTTCAACTAACTCTCCATCTATAACAATTCCTTCCACATACCCCTCCCTTGTAGGATTTCTCTCTTACGGAATAACCCTCTCTCTGATTAACCCCCTATAACAACTCCCTCTTCATGCCCCTCCCAATTAATGTGCCCTTACACCTATTCTCTAATACCTCTCTCCAATTAACACTCTAACAACCCCTTTCCTGTACCCCTCCCTATAAGTATACCTCTCTCTAATGTATACTTCTCTAATATTCTAGTCTCTAAATAATACTCTTAAAATAACCCGCTCTTTATACCCCACCCTGTAAGTATACCCTTCTCTAATATACTTCTCTAATACTCCAGTCTCTAAATAATACTCCAAAATAACCCCCTTTTTACACCCCTCCCTAGTAGAGTGTCCCTCATGACTATAATACACCTCTAGAATAACTCTCTAAAATAACCCCTCCCCCATATTCCCTCCCTTATATAGCCTTCCCTTTATACTTCTTCTCTAATAGACCCTCTATCAATTTAACCTCCTGTATAGTCCCCCTTCCATACACCCTTGACCCTTCCCTACATGTCTTTTAATATATCTTACCCTCCTAATCTTATATTATACTCCATCAATATAAAACCCTGCTCTTTCTAACACTAGGGTTTCTTTAATAATCCATATTTTTCATACTCTCTCATCTCAGGCAAGCAAAGTTTCTTCTTTGTTTATTGTAAAACTTGCAAGAAACTAACACGAGGAAAATTGCGATGTCGATGTTCAAATTGCAAGGAAGGAAGCTTTGTTCTATCACAGGTATTTACTGTTTCCTTATAAACAACTTGTAAAAAACTGCAGCAGATTTATATGCAACTTTGTAAAATGTCGACATTGTTACAACTTGTTTACAAGCTTGCTGTGAAAGCTTTTGAATGTCAACAAACAGCTTGTTTAAACAATATTTATGGTTTCTTGCAAGGGTCCAAATGGTTGGGACGATGTATTGATCAAAGGCCGCATGCAGGGACCATGTGAATCCGATAATAACTGTCAGGGAACAACAGCTGTAAGTTATTCACCTATCAGACCTAAAATACAATAGTGGGCCACATCTGGGTGCATTGCAAGCTAATGGGTTAACAAGAGACACTGACAGATAATTTTGTTAACTTATTAACTGACAGTACTCTTCACTGATGAGTAAAATCATTTGACATTAGACAGAGTAAAATACTAAAGTAGGTCACATCTGGGTGCATTCCTAGCTAATGGGTTAACAAGAGACACTGACAGATAGTTTTGTCAACTCATTAACTGACAGTACTCTTCCACTGATGTGTAAAATTATCTGGCATTAGACAGAGTAAATTACTAAAGTAGGTACTTCTTGTTATTTCGCAGCAATTGTTATTTCAAATGCGGGGAACATCATGGTAGAGATAAACAAATGCTGTTATCAATGTTGAAATCTAACATCAAAAATATTCCCTGCATCACATGCTCTGAAACATCGTAAGTTTACCCTTTCATTTTACGTTTCCTCTCAGAAATATTTATGCTTCTAGAAAAGTTGAATTTTTTAATCCAAACCGCAGTTAATAGAAACTAATAACTTTGATCCAACATGGTCAATATTTAATCAAATTTTTTTCACTCATGCACCTACCTATTGTTTGAATTCTTTTATTTGATGTTTCATTTTAAACCTTCCTCAATGAAAATATTTATTTCACAGATTTGTTATTGTTCTTTAATATATAATTCTAAAAACTGACTCAATTTAAATTCAATCACAAAAATACAAATCAGTATGTGTCTGACAATCAACTTAGAATGCTACAATCTATTTCTATAACTTTGTGAAATCTTATAGTTAATTTTAATTGTTCATAATGTGTTAGGAGTTTTCACTTAATACCTTACATATTGTTCACGCAACAACAGCAGTGTGCAAGTATCTTGCTTCAGACATTTCTGGAAGTTCTTCCCAAGAATACCTTTCAAAGTTGAAACCTTCAACTGACGTTAGCAGTGCTTGCTCACTCTCCCCTCCCAGGACTACAATGTTGTTTTCAATAAAAACTGCAGTACATCCCCTCCTCTTACATCTCATTGATGGCAGCATGTGACTTTGTTTTGTCTTGACATTGTAAATGATAACTTTATCTAATAACTTGCCATGTTTGTCAATGCCACCAATAACAACAATGTTGTCTCCCCATCTCACAGTTGCCATAGCACTCACTTCATACGGCAGTGGTGACAACTGTTTCAGCTCATTCTTCTTTATATCGTACAGTACAACACTGCTGAGGTTGTCTTTGTTATAGCCAGTTGTACTTCCACCAACCATCAACAAATGATCATCAAATATTTCCATGCTGTGATTTTGTCTTCGTTCTGGCATTCTTGATAAGGTCATCACAGTATAGGGAGGAACAAGCTGGAGTGATCTGATCAAATCAGATGAACCATTTCCTTTATAACCTCCAGAGACTATCAACTGATCATTATACAGCACACTGCTGTGGTATTTCAACTTATCAGGTAGTTTAACAGGACAGTCACTCCAGTGTGTTGAGAGATCAGGGTTTGGGTCAATATTCATTCTAATCATATCATCAACAATGCCAGACCAACGACATTCACCCCCAGCTATAGTCATATGATTGTTATAAATAAATGAAGTTGCTGCCCAACGATTCTCTGGCATTGATTGTAATGGCGACCATGTTCTTTGACGCCAGTTAAACATCTCTACAGAGTTAGTCCAATCACCTCCAGCAACGATTATATTTTCCTTATCACCACTTGGTCTATTTCTTACTTTTCTTGTGTTTTCTTCTATCTTGCCCTCCATCGTGATAAGAACGTCCTTAATTTCATCAAAAGCTCTGACCAAAGCTGTTTTCAATCCATCGACTTTGTTGTTAACCGCTTCGTGTTTTCCTTCTATATCTGCTTTTATATCTGCCGTGTTTTTGTCTATTTTTCTGTCTAAATTTGTTATTTTAATTTCAACTGTTGTATTAAACTTCTCGATATTCTTCTCGATATTCGCGATTCTTTCCTCCATATCTGCCAAAGTTTTCGTCATTTCTCCGCACGAGTGACACTTCAACTTTCGGAATTCACAGACTTCACTTTCATGGTGAATAAGATCACGCTTGTTGACAATTAAACCACAGCCTTGGTTTGAACAAACGGCTGGTGTATATCCACATGTATCTTCATGGCGGTCAAGATGCTGTAATTCTACAACTTCTTGACAACCTCTGTCGGTGTAAACGCAGCGAATTTTCGATTCATTCAAGAAATCTTTTACCATTCTATTTGGTTCGGCCAAAGTCTCTACGGTCAGTTCATCAGCACACGTTGGGCATGTTTGGGAATTTTCCAGATGTTTCGTAATACAACAACGGCAAAAAGAATGCTGGTTTCTCGAACACATAACCGGCTCTTTCAAGACGTTGAAGCAAATCTGACAGAGGAAATTTTTATTGATTTTGTCCACAAACCTTTCTTCATCGTAGCCTTGTATATATGAAGCCATATTTCACGTTGTTCTTGTGTCGTAATAATAAAACAAGTTCTGTGTTGTTTGTCGCTCTGTAGTATAAACCTCGCTGTATAGACTGAATATAGATACAGTGTTCGTTCTTGGAGATGTCTGTGTTTGTATTTTCTCGAAGTCTTCCCAAAAATGATAAATTTACGAAGACAAATATATTTAAGGAGTGTTTTGTTGACAGGAATTTGTTGCTATGAAAATATGATATTATTATCATGTCTTGTATGGTCTTGTGACAAAAGGTCATTGACCTCCTATTGAAATACTCACTTGCAATTGGTTGTGTTTATGTTGTAGGAATTTCTTATTTCATTATATGGAAATGAGTTCTGAGAAAATGATACTTTTATTACTTTATACCAAGAAAAATCAATCATAATAATGAAATATTTAGACTAAGTATATTATGATCGATGCGGATAAAGTCTGCATTAAAATTTATTTCGAATCTTTCGACTAATTACTCCGGCGTCAGCGATGGAGTTGAAAATTCGCCTCGGTTTTGTTTTGTTTTTGTTTGATTTTTTTATTTTTAATTTTTTATTATTTTTCGTCGTCGCAAGTCTGTAATGGCGCGAAACATTCTAGCATTTAAAATGTGTATGTGATTGGATTTATCTATGTCCCAGTCTTGTCTCCCAAGAGTTGTGGTGCACAGCTTTGGCTAATTTTCCGATGCGCGATTCGATTTCGCTCGCATGATACGGCAATTCCTCCAAGAGGAACAAATAAACCGTTCTTTTCATGCTTTTCGATTAAGTTTAGACTGAATTGGGGTAAGAATATATTTAATACGTGTAGATTCTGGTCCTATTTTAGTAATATCGCTGCTATTTCGCCGTTTAACAAGATGATGTGGTCGTGTATGGGCGCTTTGACTCGTCGTAGTTTGCACAGGATTGAAGATTTAATATAACTATGTAAGCGCGAATTCCAAAGGCAAAGTGTAAGACAAAGCGAATGTATCATATCGTTTATTTACATTCTTGAACGATTTAACTTCTATACTTTTTAAAGTACGATGTGCTTCTGAATTTCGCGATCGAACATTTTGGTTCGCAAGGCATCTAAATGCGGCGAATATGAACTGTATTGTTTATGTTCAGAAGCTCTATATTGAAGACTGGCACGTGCGCCGGAGTTAACGCGAGAACAGGCGTCTTGTTATATGTTTAAAGCAACAGACAATAATCTCTTGGCTGAAATAAATTTCAAACGTCTTTCACAAGGGCTGGTATTTGTTTACAAATGATCCTATGGAAAACACGGAATCGTCATTTTGGAATCTGGACTCTGGAGCCGTGAAAGGTTATCTGGTGTAATGGAAATAATTTCATGTTTACTAAATCCTGAATAGCCTTGCACTGAGCTATGTATTCTATGTGAAATGGGTCAAACTGCATGGTCCAGCTTATGAACCTAGATTTTTCCTAATCGTGTCAGATGATTTTACTCATCAGTGGAAGAATACTGTCAGTTTAAGTTAACAAAACTATCTGTCAGTGTCTCTTGTTAACCCATTAGCTTGCAATGCACCCAGATGTGACCTACTTTAGTATTTTACTCTGTCTAATGTCAGATGATTTTACTCATCAGTGGAAGAATACTGTCAGTTAATAAGTTAACAAACTATCTGTCAGTGTCTCTTGTTAACCCATTAGCTTGCAATGCACCCAGATGTGACCTACTTTAGTATTTTACTCTGTCTAAGTCAAGTTGAATATTTTCGCGGTGCAATAATATTCCAATCTAAATGAGTTTTCATCAACTCACAAATGGTTCAGGATATCTTGTGGATTGATCTACAGCTGGGGTGAATAAGAAAAACGCAACTTCAAAGTGTTCATGAAATTCACTTTCGTTTTGATCACAAAAGATCGTATAGCGTATCAAAATATTCATAAATATTAAGTGTTGTGTTTTTTTAAACATCCTGTATAAGTGCGGTCATTATATCGATGAAAAGCCATTTCAAGCTGGAAGATTAAATTTTAGCAGATCAAAGATGTTTGGAGTTGTTAAGATCGTTGTTATATTCCTAGTCTTTGCAGGTACTGGAATACATATTGTGATATATATCTTTGTTCATAGAATTCTTAAGTATCACTTCGTTATTCTTTATCGTATTTTTCTGGATTTATTTTTCTAGATAATGCGGTAGAATGTTTTAAACTTGGTCAGCTTTGCAGCTCAAATGGTAGAAATTTAATCCGTGAATGTGACGTCAGGGTTGTGGTGATTTCGGAACACCAAGGTAAGACCAGATGTAACCTTGTAGCAACACAGCGAATCGATAATATTCTTATAATCTTACAAAACAATTAAATTAACGTGAATTTATCATTATACAGAGGTTCTCGTACACACAATGGTGTCGACATAATTTGCAAACCAGGCAGTTCTGTCATGACACCATTATTTTGCTGCGAAGATGTGACGAAAATCACGTTCTTATTCAAACAACAACAAACCATATAACAATGGATTGTATATTCAAGGAAGCGGAGAAGCCGAAGGTATCATCTCTCTCATTAATAACCAAATTCATATTAGGCACGGGAAATTCATCTTAGACAGGAAAGTTGATTGTAAAAACTCGTCTTAATATGACTTGGAATGGATATAAAATTTACACGTGTAATGGGTCGGGTAATGCTAAAAAGGGTATCGTGATTATTACGATAATAACTTTGTTTATTTTCTCAGTTAAGCGCGCCTCACACGAGAGCTGGTAGCTGAGGTAAAGACCTCGCGAGGCTGTTAGCTCAGCAAGTTACTCCCGTGTGCGGATAGTTTTTCGTGAGGAATTCGCCTCGAGAGGCAAGTTTCTATCGTGTGCGGATAGTTTTCAGGCTGAGTTAACTGCCTCGCGAGGTCGTTAGCTCAGCTGATAGCTCTCTTGTGCGGCGGGCTTTACCCTTGTTCCGTCCTTGACCGTGTTGATATTTCAGAAACTCGTCTGGTTTATCCGTCTAAATGCGAATTTAGGACGAGTTTCTCGTCCAGAAGGGATTCCCTTTCAAATTAACCGTTTGTTTAGACGGGAAAGTTAGACGGGAAAATTCTGACGAGAAACCCGTATGTGGCCTGATTCACATAAGACGAGTTTCCCGTCTAAGATGAGTTTCCAAGAGGAGTTTTCCCTGTAAGACGAGTTTCCTGTTTTCCTTGACCTTGTAAGACGAGTTTCCCGCCTCTAATATGAATTCGGCTAAACTAAATTTTAAACTATAATGCATTTCTCGAAACAGAATGAGTAAAGCTATCACCCCCCTGCTAACAGGCTCATTTTTAATATGGGCAGGGGGTGTGATTTCTTCCATTTACGGTACTTGCTAAGTAATGAATCTTCCGAATGAGTCCCCCCCTGCCAACAGCCCCATTTTTAAGGTTTGCAGGGGGGTGATTCGTCGAGGTCCAGTAAAGAGGGGGAGTGTTAAAATTGAAAAATGAATTTCTTTTTCAGATATAAAATGGATATTTCAGGTGGTCTTGGAAGATCTGCTGGAAAGGTATTCATATTCACAATTTTCTTCTCCATATTCGCAGATATTCGCTCCATAATCGTAATTTTTTTCCCTGTGAAAAACCACACTTTTTGTGGTGAAATTTTTCAGTTATGGCGTGTTGGTCTGATGGGGTTGAACAGTACAAAAGATAATGTAAATCTTGTACTAAAAGCCTTCAAGGATGCGATGGAAAACGTGAAATTACAAAACAATCTGTGAGCAAACTTGAAACAAGAATTTTATTTTATTTGACAAACCAATTTATATTAGTTAATCAGGGTTCTGTTTTAATAAAGAGTAAAACTATCTCTCCAAATCTTGTTAATTGTTAAATTTTAAAATATGACTTGGTCTGTGACAGTCTGACAGACACAGACATCATTTACAGACAGGCTGATATTTAAAATAGGTAACTGAGCTATTTCTTGAGGCAGAGGCTCAGTTAAGATTCTTGGTCTGGGGGGCTGGGGCAGAAGAACCCAGGTGGGGAGGCATTGGGTTGTGGCTGAAAAAACTTAGGTGGTAGGAGGGGTGTGAAAAAACCTTTGGGAGGGTAGGGGTGAAAAAAACTAGGTGGAGTGGGTGCAGAAAATTTTATTTCAAATGTTTTATTTTGTGTTTCATTTTAAACCTTCTTCAATGAAAATATCTATTTCAAAGATTTGTCATTGTTCTTTAATATATAATTCTAAGAACTGACTCAATTTAAATTCAATCACAAAAATACAAATCAGTATATGTCTGACACTCAACTTAGAATGCTACAATCTTTTTCTATAACTTTGTGAAAATCTTATAGTTCATTTCAATTGTTCATAATATGTTAGGAGTTTTCACTTAATACCTTACATATTGTTCACACAACAACAGCAGTGTGCCACCATCTTGCTTCAGACATTTCTGGAAGTTCTTCCCAAGAATACCTTTCAAAGTTGAAACCTTCAACTGACTTCAGCTTTCCTCCCTCCCCACCCCCCCCCCCCAGGACTACAATGTTATTTTCAATAACAACTGCAGTACATCCCCTCCTCTTACATCTCATTGATGGTAGCATGTGACTTTGCTCTGTCTTGACATTGTAAATGATAACTGTATCTAATGCCTTGCATTGTTTGTCAACACCACCAATAACAACAATGTTGCCTCCCCATCTCACAGTTGCCATATCACTCACTTCATACGGCAGTGGTGACAACTGTTTCAGCTCATTCTTCTTTATATCGTACAGTACGACACTGCTGAGGCTGTCTTTGGAATTGCCAGTTGTACTTCCACCAACTATCAACAAATTATCATCAAATATTTCCATGCTGTGATCTTGTCTTGGTTCTGGCATTCTTGATAAGGTCTTCACAGTATAGGGAGGAACAAGCTGGACTGCTCTGATCAAGTCAGATGAACCATTTTCATTATCACCTCCAGAGACTATCAACTGATCATTATACAGCACACTGCTGTGGTGCCACAACTTATCAGGTAGTTTAACAGGACAGTCACTCCAGTGTGTTGAGAGATCAGGGTTTGGGTCAATATTCATTCTAATCATATCATTAATAGTGTCATACCAATCACAGTCACCCCCAGCTATAGTCATATGATTGTTATAAATAAATGAAGTTGCTCCATAACGTCTCTTTGGCATTGATTGTAATGGCAACCATGTTCTTTGGCGCCAGTTAAACATCTTTACAGTGTTAGTTCCATCACCTCCAGCAACAATAATATTTTTCTTATCACCACTTGGTCTATTTCTTACTTTTCTTGTGTTTTCTTCTATCTTGCCCTCCATCGTGATAAGAACGTCCTTCATTTCATCAAAAGCTCTGACCAAAGCTGTTTTCAATCCATCGACTTTGCTGTTAACCGCTTCGAGTTTTCTTTCCATATCTGCTTTTATATCTGCGCCTGTGCCTGTGGTATTTCTTGTGATATTTTTCTGTAAATCTGTTATTTTAGTTTCAACTGTTTTATTTGTTGCCATATTCTTCTCGATATTCGCCATTCTTTCCTCCATATCTGCCAAAGTTTTCGTCATTTCTCCGCACGAGTGACACTTCAACTTTCGGAATTCACAGACTTCACTTTCATGGTGAATAAGATCACGCTTGTTGACAATTAAACCACAGCCTTGGTTTGTACAAACGGCTGGTGTATATCCACATGTATCTTCATGGCGGTCAAGATACTGTAATTCTACAACCTCTTGACAACCTCTGTCGATGTAAACGCAACGAATTTTTGACTCATTTAAATAATCTTTACCATTCGTTGTGGTTCGGCCAAAGTCTCTACGGTCAGTTCATCAGCACACGTTGGACATGTTTGGGAATTTTCCAGATGTTTCGTAATACAACAACGGCAAAAAGAATGCTGGTTTCTCGAACACATAACCGGCTCTTTCAAGACGTTGAAGCAAATCTGACACAGGAAATTTTGATTGATTTTGTCCACAAACCTTTCTTCGTCGTAGCCTTGTATACCTAAAGCCATATTTCACGTCGTTCTTGTGTCGTAATAATAAAGCAAGTTCTGTGTTGTTTGTCGCTCTGTAGTATAAACCTCGCTGTATAGACTGAATATAGATACAGTGTTCGTTCTTGAAGATGTCTGTGTTTGTATTTTCTCGAAATCTTCTCCAAAATGATCAGTTTATGAAGACAAATATCTCTTCCTTATAAAGTGTTTGCATAAAATGCATCATTTGCTGTCAGGAATTCTTGGAATTTGCTGCGGTGTTTCCACAAAAAAATGAAAAAATATCGCGAGTTGAGAGAGAGAACTGGGACTGGAGTATAACGCACTGAGCTATGTATGCTAAGTGAATGGGTCAAACTGCATGGTCCAGCATTATGAACCTAGATTTTTCCTAATCGTGTCAGATGATTTTACTCATCAGTTGAAGAATACTGTCAGTTAATAAGTTAACAAAACTATCTGTCAGTGTCTCTTGTTAACCCATTAGCTTGCAATGCACGCAGATGTGACCTACTTTAGTATTTTACTCTGTCTAATTTCAGATGATTTTACTCATCAGTGGAAGAATACTGTCAGTTAATAAGTTAGCAAAACTATCATTCAGTGTCTCCTGTTAACCCATTAGCTTGCAATGCACCCAGATGTGACCTACTTTAGAATTTTATTCTGTCTAATGTCAGATGATTTTACCCATCAGTGGAAGAGTACTGTCAGTTAATGAGTTAACAAAACTATCTGTCAGTGTCTCTTGTAAACCCATTAGCTTGCAATGCACCCAGATGTGACCTACTTTAGTATTTTACTCTGTCTAATGTCAGATGATTTTACTCATCAGTGGAAGAATACTGTCAGTTGATGAGTTAACAAAACTATCTGTCAGTGTCTCTTGTTAACCCATTAGCTTGCGATGCACCCAGATGTGACCTACTTTAGTATTTTACTCTGTCTAATGTCAGATGATTTTACTCATCAGTAGAAGAGTACTGTCAGTTATAATAAGTTAACAAAACTATCTGTCAGTGTCTCATGTTAACCCATTAGCTTGCAATGCACCCAGATGTGACCTGCATTAGTATTTTACTCTGTCTAATGTCAGATGATTTTACTCATCAGTGGAAGAATACTGTCAGTTGATGAGTTAACAAAACTATCTGTCAGTGTCTCTTGTTAACCCATTAGCTTGCAATGCACCCAGATGTGACCTACTTTAGTATTTTACTCTGTCTAATGTCAGATGATTTTACTCATCAGTGGAAGAATACTGTCACTTGATGAGTTAACAAAACTATCTGTCAGTGTCTCTTGTTAACCCATTAGCTTGCGATGCACCCAGATGTGACCTACTTTAGTATTTTACTCTGTCTAATGTCAGATGATTTTACTCATCAGTAGAAGAGTACTGTCAGTTCATAAGTTAACAAAACTATCTGTCAGTGTCTCTTGTTAACCCATTAGCTTGCAATGCACCCAGATGTGACCTGCTTTAGTATTTTACTCTGTCTAATGTCAGATGATTTTACTCATCAGTGGAAGAATACTGTCAGTTGATGAGTTAACAAAACTATCTGTCAGTGTCTCTTGTTAACCCATTAGCTTGCAATGCACCCAGATGTGACCTGCATTAGTATTTTACTCTGTCTAATGTCAGATGATTTTACTCATCAGTGGAAGAATACTGTCAGTTGATGAGTTAACAAAACTATCTGTCAGTGTCTCTTGTTAACCCATTAGCTTGCAATGCACCCAAATGTGACCTGCATTAGTATTTTACTCTGTCTAATGTCAGATGATTTTACTCATCAGTGGAAGAATACTGTCAGTTGATGAGTTAACAAAACTATCTGTCAGTGTCTCTTGTTAACCCATTAGCTTGCAATGCACCCAGATGTGACCTGCATTAGTATTTTACTCTGTCTAATGTCAGATGATTTTACTCATCAGTGGAAGAATACTGTCAGTTGATGAGTTAACAAAACTATCTGTCAGTGTCTCTTGTTAACCCATTAGCTTGCAATGCACCCAAATGTGACCTGCATTAGTATTTTACTCTGTCTAATGTCAGATGATTTTACTCATCAGTGGAAGAGTACTGTCAGTTAATAAGTTAACAAAACTATCTGTCAGTGTTTCTTGTTAACCCATTAGCTTGCAATGCACCCAGATGTGACCTACTTTAATATTTTACTCTGTCTAAGTCAAGTTGAATATTTTCGCGGTGCAATAATATTCCAATCTAAATGAGTTTTCATCAACACACAAATGGTTCAGGATATCTTGTGGATTGATCTACAGCTGTGGTGAATAAGAAAAACGCAACTTCAAAGTGTTTATGAAATTCACTTTCGTTTTGATCACAAAAGATCGTATAGCGTATCAAAATATTCATAAATATTAAGTGTTGCGTTTTTTTAACATCCTGTATAAGTGCGTAAATCGATGAAAAGCCATTTCAAGCTAGAAGATTAAATTTTAGCAGATCAAAGATGTTTGGAGTTGTTAAGATCGTTGTTATATTCCTAGTCTTTGCAGGTACTGGAATACATATTGTGATATACATCTTTCTTCGTAGAATTCTCAAGTATCACTTCGTTATTCTTCATCGTATTTTTCTGGATTTATTTTTCTAGATAATGCGGTTGAATGTTTTAAACTTGGTCAGCTTTGCAGCTCAAATGGTAGAAATTTAATCCGTGAATGTGACAGTCAGGGTTGTGGTGATTTCGGAACACCAAGGTAAGACCAGATGTAACCTTGTAACAACACAGCGAATCGATAATATTCTTATAATCTTACAAAACAATTAAATTAACGTGAATTTATCATTATACAGAGGTTCTCGTACACACAATGGTGTCGACATAATTTGCAAACCAGGGAGTTCTGTCATGACACCATTTGCTGCGAAGATTTGACGAAAATCACGTTCTTATTCAAACAACAACAAACCTAGACTTGCTACAAGTCGACTCTTTAAACCCATACGCGAGCTTGAGCGACCGAGCGTAGCGAAGTCGCGAAAGCGAGGGAAGGGAACGCGCGGAAGAGTCGACTTGTCAAACTTGCTTCGCGCCATTTTTGGCGACCCAAAATCAGGTCGCTGAATTAATTATTATAATTATCATTACGACTATTGAGCGTGAATAAAAATGTCCACCAAGGTGTCGATATTGGTGTCCGATTTCACTTGATTAGAAAATACTTTGATATGGCTTCCATTATGGAAGCGATTGACAAAGCAAAGAAGTCTGTTGGTTACTCGGGACTGAAAGAGTATCAGCAAACCACTGTTCAGGCATATCTTTCAAACAGAGATGTCTTCGTTTCGGCGCCCACAGGAGCTAGGAAAAGCCTTGCATTTGAGTTAACACAGATAGCACCATATGACCATACGCTTTCGAGCGCTTATTAGGAAATTGATTAAACACATTGTCATAGTAATATGACCGTTTTGGCGCGAAGACGCAAATAGAAACATTGCAAGTTTGACAAGTCGACTCTTCCGCGCGTTCCCTTCCCTCGCTTTCGCGACCTCGCTACGCTCGGTCGCTCAAGCTCGCGTGTGGTTTTAAAGAGTCGACTTGTAGCAAGTCAACAACAAACCATATAACAATGGATTGTATATTCAAGGAAGCGGAGAAGCCGAAGGTTTCATCTCTCTCACATTAACAACCAAATTCATATTAGGCACGGGAAATTCATCTTAGACAGGAAAGTTGATTGTAAAAACCCGTCTTAATATGACTTGGAATGGATATAAAATTTACACGTGTGATGGGTCGGGTAATGCTAAAAAGGGTATCGTGATTATTACGATAATAATTTTGTTTATTTTTTCAGTTAAGCGCGCCTCACACGAGAGCTGGTAGCTGAGGTAAAGACCTCGCGAGGCTGTTAGCTCAGCAAGTTACTCTCGTGTGCGGATAGTTTTTCGTGAGGAATTCGCCTCGAGAGGCAAGTTTCTATCGTGTGCGGATAGTTTTCAGGCTGAGTTAACTGCCTCGCGAGGTCGTTAGTTCAGCTGATAGGTCTCTTTTGCGGCGGGCTTTACCCTTGTTCCGTCCTTGACCGTGTTGATATTTCAGAAACTCGTCTGATTTATCCGTCTAAATGCGAATTTAAGACAAGTTTCTCGTCCAGAAGGGATTCCCGTTCAAATTAACCGTTTGTTTAGACGCGGGAAAGTTAGGCGGGAAAATTCTGACGAGAAACCCGTCGTGGCCTGATTCACATCAGACGAGTTTCCCGTCTAAGATGAGTTTCCAAGAGGAGTTTCCCCTGTAAGACGAGTTTCCTGTTTTCCTTGACCTTGTAAGACGAGTTTCCCGCCTCTAATATGAATTCGGCTAAACTAAATTTTAAACTATAATGCATTTCTCGAAACAGAAGGAGTAATGAATTTGGTCATTGACTCCCGTCACCCCCGGGTTAGGTCTAAATGGTAATTTCATGTCGTGCTTTCAAGTAAAGATAAAAATACAAGAAAAATAAAAGAAAGTGTAGGCACAGAATATCTATCAGAAGAACAACTCCATAGTTATTTGCATAAGTGGTTCCGTCACTCAGCAAGTACCCGTAAGTGAAGGGAATCACCCCCCTGCCAACTGCGCTATTTTAAATATGGGTAGGGGGGTAGTTCGTTTTATTAACGGTACTTGCTGAGTGATGAATTTTGGGAAGGACTACCCCCTGCCAACAACCCCATTTTGAATACTTGCAGGGGGGTGATTCATTGAAGTCCAGTAAAGAGGGAGAGTGTTAAAATTGAATAATCAATTTCTTTTTCAGATATAAAATGGATATTTATGGTGGTCTTGGAAGATCTGCTGGAAAGGTATCCATATTCACAATTTTCTTCTCCATATTCGCAGATATTCGCTCCATAATCGTAAATTTTTTCCCTGTGAAAACCTTACTTTTTGTCATGAAATTTTTCAAATATGGCGTGTTGGTCTGATTGGGTTGAACAGTACAAAAGATAATGTAAATCTTGTATTAAAAGCCTTCAAGGACGCGATGGAAAACGTGAAATTACAAAACAAACTGTGAGCAAACTTGAAACAAGAATTTTATTTTAGTTGACAAACCAATTTATATTAGTTAATCGGGGTTCTGTTTTAATAAAGAGTAAAACTATCTCCCCAAATCTTGTTAATTGTTAAATTTTAAAATATGACTTGGTCTGTGGCAGTCTGACAGACACAGACATCATTTACAGACAGGCTGATATTTAAAATAGGTAACTGAGCTATTTCTTCAGGCAGAGGTTCAGTTAGGATTCTTGGTCTGGGCACAGAGCATACAGAGGTTTCACTGCCGTTAATTTCGCGTACCCCTCGCTTAGCCAGTGCGCTCAAGAGAGGCCTTCTCCCCCGGGAAATCATGCATATAGCGGCTTGAACACATAATGGAATATAAACAGCCGAGACAGAACTATCTGGAAAATCGTATTTTTGACAAAAACGTTGCTCAATTTTTTTCTCAAAACCAGATTTTGTTAGTTCTTATCCTTTAGAAGAGTATAGAAGAGTATACAAGTGGGAACGATCTGTTTATTTATATAGCGATGGCTATTTATAATGTTCGGGGGGATAGGGCCTCTCTTTAGCGCACTGGCTAACAACATGGCCGCTAGGAACGCATAATTAATGCCAAGTCAAACCTCTGTATGCTCTGTGGTCTGGGGAACCTGGGCAGAAGAACCCAGGTGGGGAGGGGTGGGTTGTGGCTGAAAGACCTAGGTGGGAGGGGTGCAGAAAGCTTATTTCAAATGTTTTATTTGGTGATTCATTTTAAACCTTCCTCAATGAAAATATCTATTTTAAAGATTTGTTGTTATTGCTCTTTAATATATAATTCTAAGAACTGACTCAATTTAAATTCAGTCACAAAAATACAAATCAGTATATGTCTGACAATCAACTTAGAATGCTACAATCTATTTCTATAACTTTGTGAAAATCTTATAGTTCATTTCAATTGTTCATAATATGTTAGGAGTTTTCACTTAATACCTTACATATTGTTCACACAACAACAGCAGTGTGCTGCCATCTTGCTTTAGACATTTCTGGAAGTTCTTCCCAAGAATACCTTTCAAAGTTGAAACCTTCAACTGACTTCAGCTCTTGTCGCTCACCCTCCCCTCCCAGGACTACAATGTTGTTTTCAATAACAACTGCAGTACATCCCTTCCTCTTACATCTCATTGATGGCAGCATGTGACTTTGTTCTGTCTTGACATTGTAAATGATAACTTTATCTAATGGCTTGCGATGTTTGTCAGCACCACCAATAACAACAATGTTGTCTCCCCATCTCACAGTTGCCGTATCACTCACTTCATACGGCAGTGGTGACAACTGTTTCAGCTCATTCTTCTTTATATCGTACAGTACGACACTGCTGAGGTTGTCTTTGTGATAGCCAGTTGTACTTCCACCAACTATCAACAAATTATCATCAAATATTTCCATGCTGTGACGTTGTCTTGGTCCTAGCATTCTTGATAAGGTCTTCACAGTATAGGGAAGAACAAGCTGGACTGCTCTGATCAAGTCAGATGAACCATTTCCATTATCACCTCCAGAGACTATCAACTGATCATTATACAGCACACTGCTGTGGAATATTAATTTATCAGGTAGTTTAACAGGACAGTCACTCCAGTGTGTTGAGAGATCAGGGTTTGGGTCAATATTTATTCTAATCATATCATCAACATTGCCAGACCCACCACAGCAACCCCCAGCTATAGTCATATGATTGTTATAAATAAATGAAGTCGCTCCATAACGATACTTTGGCATTGATTGTAATGGCGACCATGTTCTTTGACGCCAGTTAAACATCTTTACAGACTCATTGAATAAACCTCCAGCAACAATTATATTTTCCTTATCACCACTTGGTCTATTTATTACTTTTCTTGTGTTTTCTTCTATCTTGCCCTCCATCGTGATAAGAACGTCCTTCATTTCATCAAAAGCTCTGACCAAAGCTGTTTTCAATCCATCGACTTTGTTGTTAACCGCTTCGTGTTTTTCTTCCATATCTGCTTTTAAATCTGCGACTGTGGTATTTCTCGCCATATTTTTTTCTAAATTTGTAATATTAGTTTCAATTGTTTTATTATTATTCTCGATATTCGCCATTCTTTCCTCGATATCTGCCAAAGTTTTCGTCATTTCTCCGCACGAGTGACACTTCAACTTTCGGAATTCACAGACTTCACTTTCATGGTGAATAAGATCACGCTTGTTGACAATTAAACCACAGCCTTGGTTTGTACAAACGGCTGGTGTATATCCACATGTATCTTCATGGCGGTGAAGATGCTGTAATTCTACAACTTCTTGACAACCTCTGTCGATGTAATTGCAACGAATTTTTAACTCATTTATCACATCTTTTACCATTCTATTTGGTTCGGTCAAAGTCTCTACGGTCAGTTCATCAGCACACGTTGGACATGTTAGAGAATTTTCCAGATGTTTCGTAATACAACAACGGCAAAAACAATGTTGGTTTGTCGGACACAGGACAGGCTCTTTCAAGACATTAAGCAAATCTGACAAAGGAAATTTGACTGACTTTGGTCTCGAAGCGTTCTTCACGTAGCCTTGTATATATGAAGCCATATTTCACGTCGTTCTGTGTCGTAATAATAAAGCAAGTTCTGTGTGTTTGTCGCTCTGTAGTATAAACCTCGCTGTATAGACTGAATATAGATACAGTGTTCGTTTTTGAGGATATCTGTGTTAATATTTCTCAAAATCTTCTCCAAAATGATCAGTTTATGAAGACAAATATCTCTTCCTATAAAGTGTTGGCAAAAATGCATCATTTGCTGTCAGGAATTCTTGGAATTTGCTGCGGTGTTTCCACAGATAAATTAAAAAATATCGCAAGCTGAGAGAGTGAACTGGAACTGGAGTATAACATACTGAGCTATGTATGCCAAGTGAATGGGTCAAACTGCATGGTCCAGCATTATGAACCTAGATTTTTCCTAATCGTGTCAGATGATTTTACTCATCAGTGGAAGAATACTGTCAGTTAATAAGTTAACAAAACCATCTGTGAGTGTCTCTTGTTAACCCATTAGCTTGCAATGCACCCAGATGTGACCTACTTTAGTATTTTACTCTGTCTAAGTCAAGTTGAATATTTTCGCGGTGCAATAGTATTCCAATCTAAATGAATCTTCATCAACACACAAATGGTTCAGGATATCTTGTGGATTGATCTACAGCTGTGGTGAATAAGAAAAACGCAACTTCAAAGTGTTTATAAAATTCACTTTCGTTTTGATCACAAAAGATCGTATAGCGTATCAAAATATTCATAAATATTAAGTGTTGTGTTTTTTTAAACATCCTGTATAAGTGCGGTCATTATATCGATGAAAAGCCATTTCAAGCTAGAAGATTAAATTTTAGCAGATCAAAGATGTTTGGAGTTGTTAAGATCCTTGTTATATTCCTAGTCTTTGCAGGTACTGGAATACATATTGTGATATATATCTTTGTTCATAGAATTCTCAAGTATCACTTCGTTATTCTTCATCGTATTTTTCTGGATTTATTTTTCTAGATAATGCGGTTGAATGTTTTAAACTTTGTCAGATTTGCAGCTCAAATGGTAGAAATTCATTCCGTGAATGTGACAGTCAGGGTTGTGGTGATTTCGGAACACCAAGGTAAGACCAGATGTAACCTTGTAGCAACACAGCGAATCGATAATATTCTTATAATCTTACAAAACAATTAAATTAACGTGAATTTATCATTATACAGAGTCTCTCGTACACACAATGATGTCGACATAATTTGGAAACCAGGGAGTTCTGTCATGACACCATTTGCTGCGAAGATCTGACGAAAATCACGTTCTTATTCAAACAACAACAAACCATATAACAATGGATTGTATATTCAAGGAAGCGGAGAAGCCGAAGGTATCATCTCTCTCACATTAATAACCAAATTCATATTAGGCACGGGAAATTCATCTTAGACAGAAAAGTTGATTGTAAAAACCCGTCTTAAAATGACTTGGAATGGATATAAAATTTACACGTGTGATGATGGGTCGGGTAATGCTAAAAATGGTATCGTGATTATTACGATAATAATTTTGTTTATTTTCTCAGTTAAGCGCGCCTCACACGAGAGCTGGTAGCTGAGGTAAAGACCTCTCGAGGCTGTTAGCTCAGCAAGTTACTCTCGTGTGCGGATAGTTTTTCGTGAGGAATTCGCCTCGAGAGGCAAGTTTCTATCGTGTGCGGATAGTTTTCAGGCTGAGTTAACTGCCTCGCGAGGTCGTTAGCTCAGCTGATAGCTCTCTTGTGCGGCGGGCTTTACCCTTGTTCCGTCCTTGACCGTGTTGATATTTCAGAAACTCGTCTGATTTATCCGTCTAAATGCGAATTTAAGACGAGTTTCTCGTCCAGAAGGGATTCCCGTTCAAATTAACCGTTTGTTTAAACGAAAAAGTTAGGCGGGAAAATTCTGACGAGAGACACGTCTGTGGCCTGATTCACATCAGACGAGTTTCCCGTCTAAGATGAGTTTCCAAGAGGAGTTTCCCCTGTAAGACGAGTTTCCTGTTTTCCTTGACCTTGTAAGACGAGTTTCCCGCCTCTAAAATGAATACGGCTAAACTAAATTTTAAACTACAGGGTGTATCAAAAAAATGTCCCAATTGTAAAATTTTCGTTTTTCAGGATATTTTGCAGAATTTGCCAATTTTTTGTGTTCCTAGAGTTAGTTAAGACTTATCCGGTATACCTAGGCCAAGTTTGGTTTTTCATTAACAAAATTATGTTACTGGGGGGTGGTTCCTTTCCACTGATATTGAGAGGACTTGCGCGCGAAAATGTGAAGCTGAAATTGAGATATTATTTAGCTGTCTAAAAGTAGGAAAGCTTTTTAATAAACTGTCAAAGTTTCAGGAAAAATAATGCAAACTGGCAGCAACGCGCGACCTCTAAAAGTGACAAATATTTCATTGCGCGCAGTGGATTAAATGCATGGTTGATTTTAGCGTGAGCGATCTCATGCAAGACTGGGCAAATGAATAAATTAAAGCGAGAAACTGAACAAGAAGACGAAGCGATTTAATAACAAGATTTTTATTCTTGATGTCCATCCTCAACATCTCTACCATTTCTTTCTAAGGAAACTGCGGCTCGTCTGAGCATAGTAAACACTGAACGGCGAACCATTTGTCTGTCCTGCCTCAAATTATCCATTTCGTTCGAAATTCTTTCTTGCAAATCGCCTACGCTACCACCGGCAAATCTAGGCGAATGGACAGACATATGGTTCGCTGTTCAGTGTTTAGTATGCTCAGACAAGCCGCAGTTTGCTTAGAATGAAATGGTGAACATGCTGAGGATTAACATCACGAATAAATCGCTTTGTTTTTGTGTTTAGTTTCTCGCTTTAATTTATTCATTTGCCCACCACCTTGTACGAGATTGGTCACGCTAAAATCAACCATGCATTTAATCCACTGCGCGCAATGAAATATTTGTCACCTTTAGGGGTCGCGCGTTGCTCCCAGTATGCATTATTTTTCCTGAAACTTTGACAGTTTATTAAAAAGCTTTCCTACTTTTAGACAGCTAAATAATATCTCAATTTCAGCTTCACATTTTCGCGCGCAAGCCCTCTCAATATCAGTGGAAAGGAACCACCCCCCCGGCAACGTAATTTTGTTAATGAAAAACCAAACTTGGCCTAGGTATACCAGATAAGTCTTAACTATCTCTAGGAACACAAAAATTTGCCAAATTCTGCAAAATATCCTAAAAAACGGAATTTTTACATTTGGGACATTTTTTTTTGATACACCCTGTATAATGCATTTCTCGAAACAGAATGAGTAATGAATTTGGTCATTGACTCCCGTCACCCCCCGGGTTAGGTCTAAATGGTAATTTCATGTCGTGCTTTCAAGTAAAGATAAAAATACAATAAAAATAAAAGAAAGTGTAGGCACAGAATACCTATCAGAAGAACAACTCCATAGTTTTTTGCATAAGTGGAAAACATGCGTAGGAGGGGGGGGGGGGTGGTGAAAAACCGAAGTAGGTGGGAGGAGCAGAAAAGCTTATTTAAAAATTTTTATTTTGTGTTTCATTTTAAACTTTCCTCATAGAAAATATCGATTTCAAAGATTTGTTATTGTTCTTTAATATATAATCCTAAGAACTGACTCAATTTAAATTAAATCACAAAAATATAAATCAGTATATGTCTGACAATCAACTTAGAATGCTACAATCTATTTCCATAATGTTGTGAAAATTTTATAGTTCATTTCAATTGTTCATAATATGTTAGGAGTTTTCACTTAATACCTTACATATTGTTCACACAACAACAGCAGTATGCTGCCATCTTGCTTTAGACATTTCAGGAAGTTTTTCCCAAGAATACCTTTCAAAGTTGAAATCTTCAACTGACTTCAGCTCTCCTAATTCCTCACCCCACCCTCCCAGGACTACAATGTTGTTTTCAATAACAACTGCAGTACAACCCCACCTCTTACATCTCATTGATGGCAGCATGTGACTTTGTTCTGTCTTGACATTGTAAATGATAACTGTATCTAATGACTTGCCATGTTTGTCAGCGCCACCAATAACAACAATGTTGTCTCCCCATCTCACGGTTGCCATCTCACTCACTTCATATAGCAGTGGTGACAACTGTTTCAGCTCATTCTTTTTTATATCGTACAGTACGACACTGCTGAGGTTGTCTTTGTATCTGTGAGTTGTACTTCCACCAACTATCAACAAATTATCATCAAATATTTCCATGCTGAGACCTTGTCTTGGTTCTGGCATTCTTGATAAGGTCTTCACAGTATAGGGAGGAACAAGCTGGACTGAACTGATCAAGTCAGATGAAACATTTCCAGCATCACCTCCAGAGACTATCAACTGATCATTATACAGCACACTGCTGTGGTATCTCAACTTATCAGGTAGTTTAACAGGACAGTCACTCCAGTGTGTTGAGAGATCAGGGTTTGGGTCAATATTCATTCTAATCATATCATCAACAATGCCAGACCAACCACCACAGCCACCCCCAGCTATAGTCATATGATTGTTATAAATAAATGAAGTCGCTCCCCAACGTTTCTTTGGCATTGATTGTAATGGCGACCATGTTCTTTGACGCCAGTTAAACATTTCTACAGAGTTAGCACAACGACCTCCAGCAACAATTATATTTTCCTTATCACCACTTGGTCTATTTCTTACTTTTCTTGTGTTTTCTTCTATCTTGCCCTCCATCGTGATAAGAACGTCCTTCATTTCATCAAAAGCTCTGACCAAAGCTGTTTTTAATCCTTTGACTTCGCTGTTAACCGCTTCGTGTTTTCCCTCCATATCTGCTTTTATATCTGCCGTGTTTTTCCGATATTCGCGTGCAATTTTTCTCTAAATTTGTTATTTTAGTTTCAATGTTTACTTTTCCATATGTTCTCCATATTCGCCATTCTTTCCTCCATATCTGCCAAAGTTTTGGGTCATTTCCCCGCACGAGTGACACTTCAACTTTCGGAATTCACAGACTTCACTTTCATGGTGAATAAGATCACGCTTGTTGAGAATTAAACCACAGCCTTGGTTTGTACAAACGGCTGGTGTATATCCACATGTATCTTCATGGCGGTCAAGATGCTGCACTTCTACAACTTCTTGACAACCTCTGTCGATGTAAACGCAACGAATTTTTAACTCATTTATAAAATCTTTTATCATTCGTAATTGGTTCGGTCAAAGTCTCTACGGTCAGTTCATCAGCACACGTTGGGCATGTTTGAGAATTTTCCAGATGTTTCGTAATACAACAACGACAAAAAGAATGCTGGTTTCTCGAACACATAACCGGCTCTTTCAAGACATTGAAGCAAATCTGACAATGAAAATTTTGATTGATTTTGTCCACAAACCTTTCTTCGTCGTAGCCTTGTATATATGAAGCCATATTTCACGTCGTTCTTGTGTCGTAATAATAAAGCAAGTTCTGTGTTGTTTGTCGCTCTGTAGTATAAACCTCGCTGTATAGACTGAATATAGATACAGTGTTCGTTCTTGGAGATGTCTGTGTTTGTATTTTCTCGAAATCTTCTCCAAAATGATCAGTTTATGAGGAGAAATATCTCTTCCATATAAAGTGTTTGCATAAGACGCGTCCTTTTCCGTCACGACTCAGGAATTTCTGGAATTTTCTTCAGTGTTTCCAGAAATGAATTTGAAAATGTTACGAGCTGACGGAGAGAGCTGGAGCCAAATGAAACATTTTTCTTTTATTTTCAGTAGATTTTAGAGAAATGTTATTTTGCAGTAATTTAAGTCGACTCTAAAAGCTTTAACTTGTTCTATTAAAATGCGAATTTACACTTTCAAAAGTGCTGACGATGCTGCGATAGTTTTTAATATAAAACTCCATGTTCACTAAATCCTAAATACACGAATTCAATCTTTGGGATTATGTTAGGAATTGGGTTAAGATTATGTTTTAGGTTTATAGTTTAATAGGGTTAACCTATTCCTAATTTAACCCTAATCCTAACCTAATCTCAAGGATTAAATGGAATAATACTGCCAACATAGAAAACACTGAACATTCCAGTTTATCGTGATATCAGAAAACTGACAGGGAGTGAAATTTCAAGGCAAAGAGGAAGTTTGTTTTGGCAGTTAATGATTTAAAAAAACTATCCGTCAGACTTATTTATTATTTGAGATTATGTTACGATTTGGGTTAAGATTAGGTTTTAGGTTTATTGTTAAATAGGGTTAAACCTAATCCAAAATTTAACACTAATCCTAACCTAATCTCTGGAATTATATTGATTGCCAACATAGAAAACGCTAAACATTCCAGTGTTTCAAGAGATCAGAAAACTGTCAGGGAGTGAAATTTCAAGGAAAAAAGAGGAAGTTTGTTTTGGTAAGTGGAAGCAACCGTCGTTTTAAACTTTCAATTTTCAAACATTTCTTTTCCAAACTTTCGTTTTGAAGCAAAATATTTTGAATTATTTTCTCTCAATTGCAAGGAAATACACGAGCTTTTCTAGCGAAATATGTCGCACGACGTGACCGTAAACTTCAACGGCAAATCATTTAACCTTCGTTTTCAACCATCCTGGACAATCGCTCAACTAAAACACGAAATTGCTCGCAAGAAAAATGTCAAAACTGCTGGAATTAAAATAATTTTTGCCGGTCGAGAATTACCCGATGAATTAACACTCGGGGTGAGTGATTTTTAGGAAAATATCAAGCTTTTAATGTGATTTATATAACAATTTTCAAAGAAATAACGAAAGCTTTACTGTGAAATGTTGAAATGATTTCATAAATGAGGTTTTTTTAGTTCGGGATTTTGATGTTTAAAGCGACCATCTTCGTTATAGTAAATCTGAGATAGATGATGACAGCTTGTCTTGCTTGAGTCAGTCCATCTCAGAATATCACAGTGTCTGAATCTTGATAAAATGATCTTTTAAGACATTTTTCAAAGCCATCTTTCTCCACTAAAACCTGACCCAAACTTAAGTGAATTCTCACTCATGGACAGTTTCCAGGATTTTTCAGATGATTCTCAAAATTAAGTAATTATTGCCATCAGTCGACAATGAGTCTGACATTCAGAGATCTGAAACTTTTTTTATAGAATGCAGAGATGAACCACAGCGTCATTCATGCTGTTCAGAAATCTGGTCAGATCTCAGTTGATGCAACTTACAATGCGAATGATGGTTTGACGAAAGTGAAACTGACACAGGATGACGAAGATGAAGATGGTGAATCTCAACAATCAGGTGGTGACGAGATCTTTCATAAACCTCTCAATGATGTGACCACTCTCTTTTTAGTTCCCTTCCTGGTTTAATACACACCCTCAATAAATACCTCCAGTATGTTCCCTGCTATGTTCACCCTTGTTCCTCTCCCTTTCTGATATGACCTGATTTGATAAACCTCTTTCCTGATAAACCTCTCTGTAGTTAATCCACTATAATAACCTCTTTTTCATGTCTGTTCCTTGTATTGTATTCCTGTCTAATACACCTCTTTTGTAATAACCCTTTCTCTAGTTTGTCCTCTATAAAATATCCTTCTCAACAGCCATCTCTAATTAACCCTCAAATAACTTCTATTCCTCTCTGTCACAATGCCCTTCCCTAATGTACCTCTTCTCTATTATTCCTCTCTAATTAACCCTCAAATCATTCTCTATTTCCTTCCTTAATAGTATGCCCCTCCCTAATGTACCTCTTAGAACTCTTATATCCCTCTCTAATTAACCCTCCATAGCTAATCCCCTATACCCTTCCCTACTAGCATGCCCCTTTCTAATATGCCTCCTCTCTAAAAACAATTTTTCCAATTAACTCACCCCACACTTGCCCATACCCCCTTACCTGAATACCCTTGCATTTTCCTCATGGAGAAACCCTGGGTAGGGGGTTCTCTACCCTGCCTTTCCCCCCCCTAATCATATTATACTTCATCCATGAAGACCCACCCTCTCTCCCTAATAAACCACTCTCTCTCAAATAAGCCCCTCTCTCTCTAAAAAGCCCCTCTCTCTCTAATAAGCCCCTCTCTCTCTAAAAAGCCCCTCTCTCTCTAATAAGCCCCTCTCTCTCTAATAAGCCCCTCTCTCTCTAATATTAGGCCTCTCTTTCAAAACTCATCTCTCTAACACCAGGGCTTCTTTAATAATCCAAACTTTTCATCCTCTCTCATCTCAGGCAAGCAAAGTTTCTTCTTTGTTTATTGTAAAACTTGCAAGAAACTAACACGAGGAAAATTGCGATGTCGATGTTCAAATTGCAAGGAAGGAAGCTTTGTTCTATCACAGGTATTTACTGTTTCCTTATAAACAACTTGTAAAAAACCGTAGCAGATTTATGTACAACTTTGTAAAATGTCGACATTGTTACAACTTGTTTACAAGCTTGCTGTGAAAGCTTTTGAATGTCAACAAACATCTTATTTACACAATATTTATGGTTTCTTGCAAGGGTCCAAATGGTTGGGACGATGTATTGATCAAAGGCCGCATGCAGGGACAATTTGAATCCAATACAAACTGTCAGGGAAAAACAGCTGTAAGTTATCCACCTATCAGACCTAAAATACAATAGTGGGCCACATCTAGGTGCATTGCAAGCTAATGGGTTAACAAGAGACACTGACAGATATTAGTTTGTTAACTTATTAACTGACAGTACTCTTCCACTGATGAGTAAAATTATCTGACATTATACAGGGTAAAATACTAAAGTAGGACACATCTGGGTGCATTGCAAGCTAATGGGTTAACAAGAGACACTGACAGATATTAGTTTGTTAACTTATTAACTGACAGTACTCTTCCACTGATGAGTAAAATTATCTGACATTAGACAGGTAAAATACTAAAGTAGGGTCACAAACTTCTTGTTCTTTCAAGGAATTTTATTTCAAATGTGGGGAACATCATGGTAGAGATGAACAGGCGCCATTATCAATGTTGAAATCTAACATCAGAAATATTCCCTGCATCACATGCTCTGAAATATCGTAAGTTTACCCTTTCATTTTATGTCTCCTCTCAGAAACATTTATCCTTATGGGAAAGTTGAATTTTTTAATCCAAACCGCAGTTAATAGAAACTAATAACTCTGATCCAACATGGTCAATATTTAATCAATTTTTTTCACTCATGCTGTCATGCACCTACCTATTGTTTTAACTTTTTATTTTATGTTTCATTTAAACCTTCCTCAATGAAATATCTATTTCATAGATTTGTTATTGTTCTTTAATATATAATTCTATAAGAACTGGCTCAATCACAAAAATACAAATCAGTATATGTCTGACAATCAACTTAGAATGCTACAATCTATTTCTATAACTTTGTGAAAATCTTATAGTTCATTTCAAATGTTCATAATATGTTAGGAGTTTTCACTTAATACCTTACATATTGTTCACACAACAACAGCAGTGTGCCACCATCTTGCTTTAGACATTTCTGGAAGTTCTTCCCAAGAATACCTTTCAAAGTTGAAACCTTCAACTGACTTCAGTTCTCCTTGCACCAGATCCTCCAGGACTACAATGTTGTTTTCAATAACAACTGCAGTACATCCCTCCTCTTACATCTCATTGATGGCAGCATGTGACTTTGTTTTGTCTTGACATTGTAAATGATAACTGTATCTAATCTTGCCATGTTTGTCAACGCCACCAATAACAACAATGTTGTCTCCCCATCTCACAGTTGCCATAGCACTCACTTCATACGGCAGTGGTGACAACTGTTTCAGCTCATTCTTCTTTATATCGTACAGTACGACACTGCTGAGGTTGTCTTGTGTAACTGTCAGTTTACTTCCACCAACTGTCAACAAATTATCATCAAATATTTCCATGCTGTGACCTTGTCGGTTCTGGCATTCTTGATAAGGTCTTCACAGTATAGGGAGGAACAAGCTGGACTGATCTGATCAAGTCAGATGAAACCATTTCCATTATCACCTCCAGAGACTATCAACTGATCATTATACAGCACACTGCTGTGGTATCTCAACTTATCAGGTAGTTTAACAGGACAGTCACTCCAGTGTGTTGAGAGATCAGGGTTTGGGTCAATATTCATTCTAATCATATCATCAACAATGCCAGACCACAGCCACCCCCAGCTATATTCATATGATTGTTATAAATAAATGAAGTCGCTCCATAACGATCTCTGGCATTGATTGTAATGGCGACCATGTTTTTGACGCCAGTTAAACATCTCTACAGAGTTGTTCCTACACCTCCAGCAACAATTATATTTTCCTTATCACCACTTGGTCTATTTCTTACTTTTCTTGTGTTTTCTTCTATCTTGCCCTCCATCGTGATATGAACATCCTTCATTTCATCAAAAGCTCTGACCAAAGCTGTTTTCAATCCATCGACTTTGTTGTTAACCGCTTCGAGTTTTCGTTCCATATCTGCTTTTATATCTGCGGGATTTATTTTTTGCCATATTCTTTTCTAAATTTGTTATTTTGTTTCAATTGTTACATTATTCTTCGCCATTCTTTCCTCCATTCTCGCCAGCCAAAGTTCGTCATTCTCCGCAGAGTGACACTTCAACTTTCGGAATTCACAGACTTCACTTTCATGGTGAATAAGATCACGCTTGTTGACAATTAAACCACAGCCTTGGTTTGTACAAACGGCTGGTGTATATCCACATGTATCTTCATGGCGGTCAAGATGCTGTAATTCTATAACTTCTTGACAACCTCTGTCGATGTAAACGCAACGAATTTTCGATTCATTCAAAAAATCTTTAACCATTCGCGGTGCTTCGGTCAAAGTCTCTACGGTCAGTTCATCAGCACACGTTGGACATGTTTGAGAATTTTCCAGATGTTTCGTAATACAACAACGGCAAAAAGAATGCTGGTTTCTGGAACACATAACCGGCTCTTTCAAGACGTTGAAGCAAATCTGACAACAAAAATTTTGGTTGATTTTGTCCACAAACCTTTCTTCATCGTAGCCTTGTATATATGAAGCCATATTTCACGTCGTTCTTGTGTCGTAATAATAAAGCAAGTTCTGTGTTGTTTGTCGCTCTGTAGTATAAACCTCGCTGTATATACTGAATATAGATACAGTGTTCGTTCTTGAAGATGTCTGTGTTTGTATTTTCTCAATGTATTTCCTGCAAAGTTATTTGTTTAGAAGCGCAGAGAAATATCTCTTCCTTTTAAATTGTTTAAAGAGTGTTTTGTGGACAGAAATTTGTGGTATAAATAAATTATGTTATTATCATTGTCTTGTGCAAAAGCTGAGTACCTGTTGTTTATTCAAATACTGACTTGCAATTGGTTGTGTTTATGTTGCTAGGAATTTCTTATTTCATTATATGGAAATAAGTTCGAAGAAAATGATACTTTATACCAGGAAAAGTCAATCATAATAAATAGTTTATAGACAGAGCATATGGCCACAGATTAATACCCAGATGTCTCTCTTCTGACTAAAAAGCGAAAGCGATTCGTCACTGCGCATCGCATGCTGCGCATGCTTGGCAAAGTGACTAGAGGCATTCACCCCACCCCCTCCCCCGAAATGCTTATTTCAAAATGGAGCCGAACTGAATTGGAAGTGAAAAACTGCACGATGTGCTCAAATGAAGCGGAATATATGTACATTTATTGATTTGTACAGGAAATGCCATTCAATGTAAAGATATTCACACAATAGTACTTTTAAATGAAATATGTTTGAAAATATACCGTCAAACAGGGATTTCTACTGCTTGGAAAATCGCAGGAGTGTTATAGTTGAGCTATTTCCTCAAGTGTGCAGTGTCGTATTCTGCGTTTTCTTCCACGCGTGATATCCGCGTCGGATATTCAACATGTTGAATAATTTTGTGCATGAGTGAAGATTTCCTGACAGTGTGCTCGCGTCCTGAGCTATCGGCTCAGCAGTTAAAGTGAATGCGAGTATTTGCTTTTCATATTTTAAATTATTTTCACGACTCAAGCTGGCGCAAAATAACTCAATAGTTGCCGCATCAGTACTGGAAAACAAATTAGCGGATTTTTGGCTCGATTATCCCTGTCTATACGAGGTAAGGTGTCCTGAGTGACCCATGTACTCATTTTTTCGGGGCCGTTAAGTCTTAAATGATTTGTTGACTGCTAAAAAGCAATAAATGTAATGTTTCTTAACTTTAAATGTGTTTGAACCCGCTCTTAAGTCATTTTACGCGAGTATCATTCGCTCCAACTGCTGAGCTGATAGCTCAGGACGCGCGCACACTGTGAGGAAATGTTCACTTGTGCACAAAATTATTCCACTTTTTGAATATCCGACGTCCATAGCAGGCGTGCAAGAAAACGCAGAATACGACACCACACACTTGAGGAAATGTTCACTCGTGCACAATTTAAATTCAATCACAAATATACAAATCAGTATATGTCTGACAATCAACTTAGAATGCTACAATCTATTTCTATAACTTTGTGAAAATCTTATAGTTCATTTCAATTGTTCATAATATGTTAGGAGTTTTCACTTAATACCTTACATATTGTTCACACATGCAACGACAGCATTGGGCCTGAATCTTGCTTCAGACATTTCTGGAAGTTCTTCCCAAGAATACCTTTCAAAGTTGAAACCTTCAACTGACTTCAGGTATCTTTCCTCCTTATACCCTCCCAGGACTACAATGTTGTTTTCAATAACAACTGCAGTACATCCCCTCCTCTTACATCTCATTGATGGCAACATGTGACTTTGTTCTGTCTTGACATTGTAAATGATAACTGTATCTAATGTCTTGCCATGTTTGTCAAGGCCACCAATAACAATAATGTTGTTTCCCCATCTCACAGTTGCCATGAGACTCACTTCATACCGCAGTGGTGACAGCTGTTTCAGCTCATTCTTCTTTATGTCGTACAGTACGACACTGCTGAGGTTGTCTTCGTAATTGCCAGTTTTAATTCCACCAACTATCAACAAATTTTCATCAAATATTTCCATGCTGTGATATCTTCTTGGTTCTGGCATTCTTGATAAGGTCTTCACAGTATAGGGAGGAACAAGCTGGACTGCTCTGATCAAGTCAGATGAACCATTTCCATTATTACCTCCAGAGACTATCAACTGATCATTATACAGCACACTGCTGTGGTATCTCAACTTATCAGGTAGTTTAACAGGACAGTCACTCCAGTGTGTTAAGAGATCAGGCTTTGCGTCAATATTCATTCTAATCATATCATCAAAAATGACAGACCCAAAACACCAACCCCCAGCTATAGTCATATGATTGTTATAAATAAATGAAGTCGCTGCATAACGATTCTTTGGCATTGATTGTAATGGCGACCATGTTCTTTGACGCCAGTTAAACATCTCTACAGAGTTAGTCAATAAACCTCCAGCGACAATTATATTTTCCTTATCACCACTTGGTCTATTTATTACTTTTCGTGTGTTTTCTTCTATCTTGCCCTCCATCGTGATAAGAACGTCCTTCATCTCATCAAAAGCTCTGACCAAAGCTGTTTTCAATCCATCGACTTTGTTGTTAACCGTCTCGAGATTTTCTTCCATGTCTGCTTTTATATCTGCCGTATTTTTGTCTATTTTTCTGTCTAAATTTGTCATTTTAGTTTCAATTGTTACATTATTCTTCGCCATTCTTTCCTCCATATCTGCCAAAGTTTTCGTCATTTCTCCGCACGAGTGACACTTCAACTTTCGGAATTCACAGACTTCACTTTCATGGTGAATAAGATCACGCTTGTTGACAATTAAACCACAACCTTGGTTGGTACAAACGGCTGGTGTATATCCACATGTATCTTCATGGCGGTCAAGATGCTGTAATTCTACAACTTCTTGACAACCTCTGTCGATGTAAACGCAACGAATTTTTAACTCATTTATAAGATCTTTTACCATTCTTTGGGGTTCGGCCAAAGTCTCTACGGTCAGTTCATCAGCACACGTTGGACATGTTTGAGAATTTTCCAGATGTTTCGTA